TCACTTTCCCCCATTCTCTTTAAGTTCTTTTAGAAATTCAGTTAAATGTAGTTTAGGCCTTATTCTATTTTCTGTTCCACTTTCATACTTTTCATCTTTATCTCTGCTGCATTTGGTGTAATTTCTTTTAGATCTTTAAGTTCACTGATTCTCACCTCACCTAAGTCTAACCTGTTCTTTAATTTACTGATTAAGTTTCCATTTATTTTTTACAACTTTGTTGTAGTCTTTACATAAAATTTTGTTAAGTTTTGACACATGTGCATTTGTATATGTCCATGAAATCATCACCGCAGTCAAAATAGCATTCACGTCCCCCTGCCCCCACCAAGCTTTCCCTTACACCTCTCTAATCCTTCTCTCCCGCCTCTTCTGCGCACGCTCCCAGATTCCCGGGGAACCACTACTTTGTTTTCTGTCAGTATAGATTAGTTTGCATTTTCTAGAGTTTCATGCAGTAAAATCACCTATTTAAACCACTTTCAACAAAATTATAGGGTTGGCATATCTCGTATCACATAGGAAGTGTGAATTAGGGCCTCAGAGGTGTGATGGCTGACTTTGTAGCTTCCGGTCCTCAGAGGACAGCTTCCCTGCCGGGGATCTTTGCAGGGTGCATTAAGTTCTAATTAATTCACCTTTTCTCTGCAAGTGTAGCCCTAGCTGGTCCTGGCTTTACCTGAGGATCTCTGAAACAGTTTGTTATCTCAGAAAGGCCTTGGTTTTATCCTCTGCCCCCTATAAGCCAATAAAACCAAAGCTCTGTTACTGGGGACCTGCAGGTGCCCTCAAGGGGCTGCTACCATAACTACTCCCTTAAACACTCAAGGTTTGTGCTCCCATCTTGCCTTTGGCCTCAAACAATTACATCTGCCATCTTGAAAGCATGTATATATGTGTGTATACACACACACACACACACATACACATACAAATAAAATAACAGCTTTATTGAGATTTATTCACATACCATAAAATACACCCCTTTAACATGTACAATTTAATGGTTTTAGTATGTTCACAGAGTTGTGTGACCAAGCTCAGTCATACTTGAAAGAAAATATAGACATATTTAATGTTTTTATAGTAGGAGGAATATTTTAAAGGATATTTAGTTCCACCTTATTCCAGAAACAAAATTCCATTTAATATATTCTTCAGGCTTAGGGAGAATATCCAAAACTTATTTCGTGTTCCCCCGTGGTAGTTTTCAAATATAACCCCGTCTAGTCTGCAGATTGTGAGCAGCTGCATCTCAGTCTCCTGGGGCTTTGTTTAAAAATGTGGATTCCTCTGATTTCCCCTAAACCTACAGAATTAGAATCGCCCTCTATGTGTGATGCTAGAAATCTGGAGTTTTAAAGCCCCTCAGATGATTCAAATCCTCAACAAGGTTCATGAACCATTACAAAACTATATTTGAAATAGTGTAGGGTCCTCAATATGTATGTCCTTAGATCATCAATGGTATTGTTTTCCCCAAACAAAAAGGGCATTTTGCACTAGTTTACATATCATTTTCTGGACATAATCTATATTATCTGTACAGCTTTAGGTTTTGTTAAATGAAGACTTTTTCAGATCATTTCCCATATATACTCTTTGTCATGTGTATTCCGGAGGAGGTGAGTGACAGGCAGGAAAGCATCTTTTCTTAGCACATCCCTTTGAATGAAACCTGGGCATCTGCTGGCCCCTCAGAGAAACGTGAAGTGTGATTTTGACTGTTGCAGCCCACAGTCCAGAAGCCTGTGGCGCCGGCCCTCTGCAGGGCGCAGCCGCCCCAGCTTTCCTGGCAGCCCTGCTCCGTGCGGCTTTCTGCCTCATTCATCACGCCAACGCTATCGTCGGAGGTGATTGGTCACATATTATATTTAGCAGCAAACCTTCCTCTGACTTGCAATATGCAAATGTTATTTGTCAGATGCTGGGCCTGCAGCTGTTGCCCTTTCGGAGGCCCCAGCCAATTTCACTTGCTGAAGATGTCTTGGAGTGAAGGATTAAAATGGAACCCTGAGTTACCACACCACAGAAGCCAACCTAACCCAGTGTTTAGGCCTACATTGTGCGCTCTGTGAAATCAATGAGGAAATGGAGGCCATTTTAATTAGGCCATTATATCCTGAGCCACATTTTTTGAAGTTAAAGTTTAAATTTGGAGTAAAGGTACCTAATTGTTTGTAATGCCTAACATCTCAACACAGGGGCCTCTATTATGAAGGGATTATCAAGATTTGGTATCATGGGAGTGCTGTTTAATACTCTGAGCAAATAAATTTAACAATATTAATTTGCCTTAGTGTGAAGAGGTTTTAGGGACATCTTTGTGTGTGAGGTGGGAAGTGAAGGGGGAGGTGTCTTTACCATTCTTTAATCACCTGGTGTTAATACCTTTAAGAGAGTCTTAAGAAAAACTAATTACTTTCACATTATATTAGGTTTTAGGGATTTCGCAAAGTCGCTTTGCCCTACTAGCTACTGAATCATTGAGATCATTACCTCCAGGAAAGAAGAGAGGAAAAAATGGCTAAACGCATTGCAATAGGTCTTCAATAAATACTTATCAGTTGATTACCTCTGTCCCCGTATTACTTGATGCTGGTTTCTTCCACTAGGGATTAAAAAAAAGAAAGAAAGAACATTAAAAAAAACCCTTAAATCCAGTTACTTCTTTTTCTTTCCTCCCTCTCTCCTTCCATTCTCCCCTGACCCTTCTTTCGTTTATTCACTTCTTTAGATATTTATTGAGTGCCTTTATGGAACCGTTCTACAGACCGAGAATTTATCAGTGAATTAATTCCTTGCCTTTATGGATTTTAATTTTAAGTGTGAAAGAGAAAAATAAGTAAATAAATAAACACAGCCCTGGCCAGTGTGGTGCAGTGGGTTGGGTGTTGTCCTGCAAACTGAAAGGTCACCGGTTTGATTCCTGGTCAGGGCACATGCCCAGGTTGCGGGCCAGGTCCTCCAGTTGGAGGTGTGCAAAAGGCAACTAATCAACGTTTCTCTCCCTCTCTTTCTCCCTCCCTTCCTCTCTCTCTTAAAGTAAATTTTAAAAATCTCTAAACATACACACACACCCCCACCAGTTTATGTAGGCACTTACAAGTCATAGGAAATATTTTGGATTTTATTCTAAGTATGATAGGATGCTATTGGCAGGTTGAGAAAAGAGAATAACAGGATGTGATTTATCTTTTAAAGGGCTATGTAGAGATTAAACTAAGTGTAGGGGCCATAGTTAAGGTGAAGTCATGAGGTGAGAGAGATTGGTGGCTTAGTGGTAGTAGTGAGAAATATTTATATTTCAAATCTGGGGCATAAGAGTAGCTGAAAATTGGTTATAGAGTATGAACAACAATGGGGTCAAGAATAACACCTGGATTTTTGGCCTGTATAAGCCACTGAAGGTAGTGGTCATTAACTGAGATGGGAAAGGCTTGGAGAAAAGCTGGAGTGGAAGGATGGAGAATAAAGAGGATGCGTAATGTTTAGATCCTTATTAGACACTCAGATGGAGACATTACCTTTGCAGTTGGAAATTGCAGTTGGAAAACTTTGGAGTTACAGGCAGGAGGCAGGGTAAACATGTAAGTGTGGAGGCAGTAATCTATAGATTAAGGCTGTCAGAGAGAGTGTGTGGATGAAGAGTCTACTGCTTAGACTGAGGGTAATCTAACGCTGAGGACTCAAGAAGAGGCAGAGATCCTGCAAAGGAACTGGAGAGAGGGAGAGAAAGAGTATATCATAACGGTCCACTATATCAAATGCTCATGAGCAGTCAAGAAGAAGAGGATGAAGAATTTACCACCGGATTTAGCAGTGGGAAGGTGGGCACTGGGATTAGCAGAGTGATGGAAACCAAAATCTGATTGGAGAGTGTCCAAGTGAGAATGGAACTAAGGAAGCAGTCACTGTTGTATCCAGTATGACTCTTGAGTTGTCTTGCTGCTGAGGGACGCAGAGCAAAGACGTAGCAGGAAGGAGACAGGATATCAAGGGAGGTTTTTGTTTTGGGGTTTGTTTAATAAAGTTTATCCTTTGTAAGCAAAAGAAGATGAAGGCAGATTTTATGGGCACAGATCCCAGCAGCCTGGTAGGCTTGATGGTAGGAGGATGAAGTTCTCCTTTGATTGCTTCTGTTTTATACTCGGAGAAATAAGACACAGAATCAGTTGAGAGTGAGAGCAAGGGGACAGGGAAAGAGCATATTTTAAGTTAGAGAAGCAATGAGAAGGCGTGAAACAATCAATTTGGAAATTTATCTTTCCTAGGATTTCAAATCTTTTTAGACTCTGAGATAACAGTATAATCTCAGGAATACCAAGTATTCATGTGGATGTTCTACCAAAAGAAACTGCAATAGAAATAGTCCAGGCTGAAAATCACTAAGTATAGCCAGGGTGCCATCTCTGATTTGTTGAGGGAATGTAAAAATGTCATTTGATAAATTCCAGTTAAAAATTTTTTGAATAGCTAATATATTTACCTGGTTCAAAATGCAAAAAGAATAAATGTGTAAATAGTGAAGAGTTCTCTTTCCTTTGCCTCTTACCCTCTAACTCCTTTCTGCAGAGCCTGTCAGTAATAACACTTTGTTGTGTCTCCTCCTAGAGATATTTTGATAAATTTTTAAAGAACTATGGGAGCTGGGAGTGGGGGTGAGCGGGCCTGAGGAGAGCAAAAGGGGAAAAATTGGGACACCTGTAATTGGGCAACAGTTTTTAAAAGATTTAAAAAATAAATAAAAAGCTAAATATATGCTAGCATTTTAAACATAATCCTTACTGCAATTAAATAAATTATTTAAAAATGTTACTAATACTTTTTGTCCTCTTTAATTTATACGAAAATAATTTCTAAAAAGAGAGAGAGAGTGCATCTCTTTTAATACTGGTTTCATAATGATGGCAGCCATCTGGCAGGAGTTGTATCTGTTAGTTTTTCCGTAGTAAACATGTATATTTAACAAGGTTTTTTTTTCTTCTTTGTCTTCACAGCTGATCTAGCATCTTTAATGGATAAAACATATGAGAAAAAGTTGCCTGTTAGTTCTTTAACAATATCACGGGTAAGAAAACTTAAATATACATATTTTCAAAGAAGAAGTAGAAGAAAGCAAGAAACGTTCTTGATATAGACAAGGCTGTGTAAATAAAGAATATTTTTCATAGGAAATATTTTTAGAGTATGGTATGTTTTTGTACTTACTAATAGATACGTTATGGTGAAGTAGCAAATTTCTTTGACTGAAATAAAAGTTAATTTACCAGACTCTGATGTCAGTGATCATTGTTATGTATGTGATTTATTTGAGTTTTCCAGGATATGGTATTCTATTATATATAATATCAGGATTTTTGGGGGCTGGGGCTTATACCACCCTTCAGAGGAATAGTATTTACTTGTTAATATTGGGAGTTATTTTTGGTGGCTGAGAAACTATATAAAAGAACGTATGTTAATGTTCATGTTAAACTGCTGCAGAGCAATGGAGTAGAGAATAATACTAGGCTAGCAATCAGGAATAGTAATTGATAGTGACCATTGCTGAATACCTTCTATGCCATCTATTGTACAAGTTTCTTAATATACATTATCTCATATGTTAAGTCTTACAGTGCCATAGGTGATACTCATTATTTTCTCCATTTTACATGCAACACTCAGAATGATTGATAAATTTCTCAAGTTCACAAGGGTCATTAAGTGGAAAAATTGGGCTTCAAACCCAGTTCTCTGTGACATTGAAGTTCTTTTCCTTCAAATAATACCTGATCTTGTCTTTATCAAGAATTAACTTTGTGACATTGGCAGTTGGACCCCTTTCACTTTCCTCATGTCCGACATGAGGACAATAGTTATCTTTCTTGCAGGGCTGATGCAATGACAAATGAGATCTTAGTTGTGAAAGCTCTTTATAGAAATTAATAGCACCATAAAATTCAATGTTATTGTTAAAGCTAGAAGAGGAAAAGGAAAGAAAGTATTTTAAGTCTGGGTTCTTTCTGTCTCTTGATATTCTCCTTTTAGTAGGGGAAGAGTTTAACTAGGTCATAACTTAAATTTTACAGACTCATACGGTCAGATTGAAGGGGAACAGAAAGACCATTGGTTCTCCCCTTACATGGTGGTTAAAATCTCTGTTGTCATAATACCTGACATTTGTTTAGAGAGCACTGCAGAAATTAAAAAGCTTTCGTATACATTTTCTCATTGAAGACTCAGACCTTTGAGGCAGGTGCCTTTATTCTGTTTATGCAGATGGAGCAACTAAGTTCCAGAGGGGCGATGCCATCTGCTTATGCCACACAGCAAGCCATTGAGGGAGCTAGTTCTCAGCTTCAGGTGCCTGTGTTTGCACCATATTTTATCCACCCCTTAATGAAGTAAGTCTGAGGCATTTTTTAGAAAGTCAACCCCTTTTTACTCTCCTCTCCCTCTTTATAAGGTTTTAATTATATTCACAATATGCATTATCTAACTCCATCTTTTTTGCCTCTGAGTCTCTACTTCCGAGACAATCCTTGGAATAGCCATCTGTGTTTGCTTATTTGGTTTGGAATAAAGGAGCACACTCATAGGTTTTATGGTTCAAAAGGAGACTTTGTTGGTTGACTGGTGCATAGCAAAACTTAAGTGAGAGTAAGAAAAATGGTTCCAACATTGAGTTCTTTAATTCAGATTGTCATCTCTTGATCCATATTTTTTAGCCATTAGAGTTTTCAAACTTTCAGATACATCTTTTCATGACCTTAGTTGTTCTAGACAAAGAAAAAGATAAACCACTGTGTATTTTTTTGTTTGTATTAGCATAAAGGGGTTTTAAAGATGGAGTCATACCACATGATCCTGTGCCAATAAAATGGGTGTTTTGTCTTTTATATGGTTAATGTGTGAATTAGGGCCAATATATGGCATAATTTGTATTCGACCAAAGGTTTCTTTTTTTGTCTTTTAGTTTGTGGACAACATTTCATCTCGAGAAGAGATAGATCATGCAGAGTATTACCTTTACAAGTAAGTTTTCCACTTCATTGGGCTACTCTCCTATTTCACACCTCTTTTTAATACAAAAGGTGGTATGTATTATATATAATTTTCAACACCTTGCTTTTTAAGTTTATGTTTTGGAGCTCCTTCCCTATCAGTATATTGAGAACTTCCTCATTTTTTATATCTATATGCTATTCCATACTATGAATATATCATTTAAACCAGTCCCCTATTGATGGGTCTTTAGGTAGTTTGCTCTCTCTTTTTGTGTTATATACAATGTAGTAATTAATAACTCTATACATATGTAATTTTGCACATTAGCCTCATAAGTGTTTATATTTGTAATTTCACCAGCTGCTTCCAAATTCCTTTCTTTTGTGGTTTTAACCAGTTTACAGTCTCACCAGCAGTATAAGAGAGAGGCCCATTTCTACAGCTTGGCCAGTAGGAGTACTTGCACACTTTTGGATTTTTTTAATAATCTGATAGTTGAAAAATTATATATTTACCTCCCCTTTTTTATTCAGAGGGAAATATACTCTATATGTACTATTTGTCACCTATTGTTAATTGATACTATATTTTAAAACTTTTCCTACACTACCACATTCATCACTTCATTCTTTCCCTCGGCTGTGAGCAACCCTACTGTGAACTACATGGGTTCAAACAGCACCACCTATAGCAGCAAAAGACTGAAATAACCTAAAAACTCATTAAATAAGTGACTGGCCAAATAAATTATGGCTTATCCTTATAGTTGATATTCCACCTATAAAATACTTGTCAAATAGTACCTTACAACTAACTTTTTATTGTTTCCTTATTGTGATTTTTAAAAATCTGATTTATGATTTGTTCCAATTCCTTGGTTCCAAAAATATCTCAGATTGAAATTTAAAGTGTTTCCAGTAAGCATTCCATTAGAATTTCCCACTAGATTTTGCTTTGTTTTGATCAAGAAGGTTTCAGTTATTTCCATCTGGGTGCATTTTTAAAAGCTTTCTTTGTATTAGCGAGAATGTACTCAATTCTCTTTTATTTCATTTTCAAAATAGTAATGAGGCTTTTTTTTTTTTCTGTCTGAATTGGATGAATTCTACCGCCTTTTTGGTGTTTTCAGTTTAAATATAAATCTTAGGTAGATTAGATTCCACACTGTGAAAAACCTTTATTTTAAATCTAAGATTGAACAATGTCCAAAGTTTAAATTCCAGGTCCTGAAATCATAATTGCAAGTGCTCTCCTACCCTTCATTAAGATAAACATAAAGGGGTCCTTTGATGAGAGCAAGCCCTGTCTTGGGGCTCCTTTGATAGTATTTTTGCCTGTGATGAAAGGTGTATTTGGGCTGGCATCTGCCCAATTCTCATTCTTTTGCTTTATTTATGGCAAAACTCAGAAAATAGCTCCAACTTCTAAATAGAAACTAATCCTTAAAAGTGTGTCCCATGGAACACAGTGCCATAGTCTTGGAAGAAATGGGTGCCCAATTTTCTTCTGTCCCAAAGTACCTCTGTAACATATCATTGATTTCAGTGATTCAACATTCACCAAGCATTTACTGAGCACCTAGTGGGCGCCCAGTCTCTGTCTGAAGTGCTGGACCTACAGTGATGAACAAGTTATGAATTAAGTGTTAACTGAGAAATTTAAGTCCTACCTTTAAGGTCTTCTGTGATTAAAACTTCACATGATGTCCCGTTTTATGTGGCTTAGAGTCTTACTGAAAGTTTCACAAAATCTCTATTTCCTATTTTTGTAAGATCATACAAAATACTTTTGTCCATCTTAAATCTGAGCCACTGTTTAATTTGTCACCGTGACCTTTGCTTAATTAAAACTAATGTTCTAACTATGACATCACTTTTTTATTCCTGTTCTTTCTTCTCCTTCCATTACTAAGGAAATTAGCTCTCTTTTCCTCAGCATATTGTTTAAAGAAAGAAGTGTTTTTATGACTCCTTAATATGACTGTTATACAGATATGAGACTGAGTATAACTCCATATAGCTGCATTCAGATGTAGATCATGGAGGTTGGCTAGATTCAGTCATTAGCTAAGAGTCTCACTCCTGCTTTCTAACCTTAGAGAATAAATATAAAACATAATAATGCCTCAGCAAAATGAAAAGTTACAGTTGTGAACTCTTGAGGTTTATCTCCATTAATTGCAATCAGGAGTGTTCATCCTGAAGCCACCGAGGGCCTGTGGTATTTCTACCTGTTAGGTCTTCAGCGTGTCATGGTTGCGATGCCAGTATCTATACTACATGGGATGACTTTACGCATCTTAGGGTCAGCTGTAGTCACAGGTCTAGGATGAGGAACTAGAGTGGCACTTTCTTAAGTCCGACAACTGACAGCTTTTCGCTGGTCTGCCTTGAGGATCTCTGAGACCCCAGGCAGTACCATCTTGAGGGTAGGGCCCCTAGCAGGACTTTGGGCTGCTACCTGTCATTAGCCCAACTCTCCCTGCCTCAGCCTGTAGAGGTCAGGCGCTCCGCACACAGTGTAGCTGCTACATTGTCTCATCTCCAAGTGAGCAAATCTCCCCAGTGACTATGTAAAGAGCATTAGAGCCAAAGAGGTCGGGAAACCCTGAGTGATCCACAGAGAGCCGATTGAGCCTCTGCCATTGTATCGGGGGCTCAGGTAAGCAGTTCCCAGTTCCAGCAGTTCAGGATGCTGCTGACATGTGCCAGCCTGTTATTATCCCATTGTCCCAGGAGAGACTTGCAGCCTTTGAATCTCCTGAAGAATAAAGGTTTAAAAGTTTAGGGGCTTCAACCCTTGAGGGATCTTTTAAGGAGAGCCAGAAAGGCCACTATTTAGAGAGCAGGCGGGAAACAAATATCTGACCATCCTATTTGGGCCATGCTGTTCTCTGAGGGCCCACTGCCCTTTAATCAGCATCTGTCCTGCTGCTTATAAATAAAGCATGGAAGCACCAAGAAAAGGGAAATGATCCTTTAAACAAAAGAATAATGTGAATTAAAGATGATTAAGGCAGTTAACACCAGAAACGATATAGGTTGGCAATTTAAAACAAAAATAAAAACAAAAAAAACCCTGTTAATACTCTATACAATCTAAAGGGAAAATAAACCAAGAGTAAAAATGATTAAAACAGTTAAAAGGCTAAACTGAAATAAAATAAAGAAAATATGAAAGCTAAGAAACAAGAAAACAAGACATGCTAAGAACTGTTTATTTTGTAACAAAATGATTAAAATAAGAGAATAAAAATATAATAAACAAATAAAACAAGTTAAGAAGGACCTAATCCAGGAACTTCATAAAATATGTATAGATATGGCTAGGAGGGTGGGGAAAAAGAACAAAATAAGGAAAGTGAGACCAAAGGGGTCGTGGAGACCAGGGTGTATATGAGAGGCTGATAGAGCAGGAGAAAATTAAAATTAAGAGATAAGAGGAAATCCCATGTATCTCTTGTTATTTGTTTTCTAAGAACCATGATCTTAGCTTTTTCTCCACAAAATATCCCCTTTTGGGGTCTGTCAGCTTGAGGTCAATGTTATTTTATAGTGAGCTTATCTAGAGTTTTCCATTATCACTTTGTGGAGAGCCTCACTTTCCTGGGTCACCTCGTCAGTCATTCTGAGCCCAGCACCTCCAAAGTCCGTGTGCGCAGACACGTGAGCCCTGAGGCAGGGCCTGTGTCTCCCTTTTCAAAAGATAAAACTGCATGTAAAATTGTAGCATCAGTAAAAGCCATTATTTCCATGGCTGTAACAAGCTTTTACAAATCCTTCCTTATATGAGTATTTGATTACTGCATTAATAGAATGCAAACTCAAGCTATAAAAATTCCATCTTTCCTTGTGGTATCCTCCTCTTCACCAGTGATGTTTGCAAATTACATTTTTAAAGGCTTATTTAGACTTTTAAATCATGTTGGGACCATGGCAGTTTAGAGATGCATGAAATTATACATGTTTCTTTTACTATCGGAGCATCAATAATTGGAACTGATAATCTAGTCTGCAATATAACCGTCATTCCTAAAGGATTAGTGATAGAAATCTCTAACATATATAACATATTCTATTTTAAAAATATAACATCTTTTAAAAATTAGCCTTTTTGGTTTTTAGCTGAATTAACTGTCATACAATAAGAAAAGATTGTTGCCGAGCTCCATGGGAAGGTATGCTTTTCTCAGAATACAGCTCTGTGTTGTCATGGAGAGTGGCATGCCGCGCACTAGTGAGAGGAAGTCAAGGTCGCTTTGCAGGCTGTGTGCGGCCGATACATTCATCCACACTGTACCTTGGCCTCAAGCATCTTTCATCAATTGTTCAACTGACCTGGCAGAAACGAGGTGTCCCTGGTTGGAGACGGATGGCAGGTCAGGAACAGCTGGGGTGAGACAGATGGCAGCCTGCGTGTCTCCCGGTCCCAGTTGGCAGTCAGCCTAAAAAGGAAGGACCAAAATAACTTCATTTTAAACAAGCAAAAATATTCCGATGCTTCCTTGGAAGGTGAGCATACTACTACCCCGGGCCTGTGGTGTAAGAATCCACATCTGCTTGTGGAAGGAGGGGAGTAAGGAGTTTATGAGGACAAAACAACATTCATGAGTTTAGGCAGTAGTAATTTTCCTTTGAGAGCATAGAGATTGCGTGTGTGTTACAGCAGTAAGAGGAAGTTAAAGTTTTTTCTCTCAGCATGTTGCCAGGTCTCATTATGTTTGAACATTATTAAGAAAAGAGTAAGAGCCCAAGGGGAGTTAAATGACTCTTGGAGCATTTTTTAGAGACTTTGATATTGCCCAGCACTTTATTTCTTTCTCATTTGCTGACCCTTACCTTGGGCCTAGGAGAGGTTCTTACTGTTAATGTGCATTGGAGAAGAGCCGATTGTCAGGGGCATTGTCCTGGCCCTGTCAAAGGCTCATCGGAGCTTTGTGATGAGAGTTAGGATGAGAACCCTCAGCCTCTGAGCCTTTAGACTTTGTACTTCTCTCCCTACTGGTCTTGTTATTTCATCCTGGAGCC